GTAAAATAATTATCAAACGACAAATTGTATTATTTTTAAACTATTTTTACGCAAAGACAATCGCTTCAAAAAATCGAATCGGAATCGAACATCCGTAGTCGCGACCGATAACAGTCGCGGACGAGGAGCTGGCCCGGTATTAGAAGCGTTCTCTCTCGAGCTCTCCGTTGTTGCATATGTAGGTATGTTCTCCCGCGTTTTGTTCGCCCGGTGAAATTTCCAAGGCACGTATGTACATACTATCTCACGCGCAGAAATGTCACCGTCCGGCGTACGGTCGAACTGTGGTGGAAAGAGAGAAAAATGGTAGAAAGAGAGGGAGATAGAGAGACCCGGTGCAGTTACCTGGTTGCATCCTGCATAAACCCGATCAAGTATGCCGAGAGTGTGAACGGAGGGACTCCAGAGCGCGTACACGCGTGTGTCGTGACATGCGTATGTATATGCACACCTAGGCGCGGCAGTTTACCTCGTTCCGCGACGCCGATTTCTCGCGATTTCGTGACTGGTCAACCGATACACCACCGTGGATCTATATGTCTACGACCCCTCACACCCCTTCGACCCTTTAGCGTCGTTTGACATGTGTATAATGATTTTTTTTTTTCGGGTTATGCAGTAATAATTCGATGAGTGCTACGAACTGGGATCCGATTCGGAACATTGCACATTAACGCATTGATGCAGCTCGTCATTCTCTGACAAAAATTAGACCTCCAATACATATAATTCGGGAATCCTTTGAATTCTATAAAGTACAATATCCGCAAATCACACGCTACAAAATAAGAATCCCCAAAAAACCGTAAACGTATATTCCACAATAATAATAGTAAATAGCATTAGTAGGTACCATTCCCTGTAAAAACTTAGACCTCCGTTACACATCATTCGGGAATCCTTTAATTTTTACAAAGTATAATATCCGCAAATCACACGCTACAAAATAAGAATCCCCAAAAAAACCGTAAACGTATATTCCACAATAATTATAGTAAATAGTATTAGTAGGTACCATTCCCTGTAAAAAATTAGACCTCCGTTACACATCATTCGGGAATCCTTTAAATTCTACAAAGTACAATATCCGCAAATCACACGCTACAAAATAAGAATCCCCAAAAAACCGTAAACGTATATTCCACAATAATTATAGTAAATAGTATTAGTAGGTACCATTCCCTGTAAAAACTTAGACCTCCGTTACACATCATTCGGGAATCCTTTAATTTTTACAAAGTATAATATCCGCAAATCACACGCTACAAAATAAGAATCCCCAAAAAAACCGTAAACGTATATTCCGCAATAATTATAGTAAATAGTATTAGTAGGTACCATTCCCTGTAAAAAATTAGACCCTCGTTAAACATTATTCGGGAATCCTTTAAATTCTACAAAGTACAATATCCGCAAATCACACGCTACAAAATAAGAATCCCCAAAAAACCGTAAACGTATATTCCACAATAATAATAGTAAATAGTATTAGTAGGTACCGTTCGACCACCGTTCAAACGGTCACCGATTTCCCACCGATGCGATACAGATCGCGGAATCCCAAGTCCCAGAAGATACACCCCTCTCCCCTCTAAAAGAAACGAACGATTCCCCCGTTTTCGACTCCGTGGAATCGCATCGATCCGCCACGCGTGTCGGTTCGGCCGCGGAGCGTGCAGAAACGCACCTCCTCCACATTTTTCCTTTTCTTTCCACGGAGTTTCACGGGCTCGCACGTGCGTGGCAGAAAAGGGGCTAGGCGGGATAGATCGGGCCACTCTCCCCCCTCCCCTTTCTCTTCCCTGGTTCGTCGCGGACCGATGCATTCCGCGCGCTTTCAATGCATTTCTCAGGGACCTTATGCACCCGTGCATTTGCTATTCCACGGGTGACGGGGGCCGCGGTCGTGCGCTGCATAAACCGTCCAAAGACGCCCGCTCCGCTTAGGTCGTCGCCGTGCAACGTCGTCGTCGTCGTCGACGCTGCTCGATCCGCGATCCTACTGCTCGGTACACGAGATTTCCACGCTGTGACAGAGAAACGACACCGCCCCGCGAGGAGGGGGAGGGCTGAGCGTGGCCTGGACACTGGAATTTTATTTACGCGTGTGTACCGGGTGTCCCGAGACGCCATCGACACAACGTTATCCGCGATCGTGTTTTCTTTGGTGTCGAGAATGTGGGATACGAAATGGGCTTTGGTGATCAAAGTGTAATATAAGTAAACTAAAATATACAGTGGATTCCGGTTAATCGGGACCGCCGGTTATTTTGGGACAAATACTGGAGAACGGAAACAAATATTATTGTTCCCACTACGGTTATATGGGACATACTAACGCTTTATTGGGACAGTTAACGCTCGTACAGTTTACGGTTGGTGATAGTAAAGCTTGTTCTGAAGTAGTGGTACTGATTATAAGTCGAGATACGGCTCGAACGTAGGAAAAGACAGCGTAAATGAAATAACGCTGAATATGACAAAAGTTTTTCAATAAATTGTGTTTTGGTTTTAGTTTTTACCTTGTTCAAGTTTCATTTGTTTCTAAATAAATAAACCTACTAAAATCTATTTTCGTTTGAAAAATATCTACAACCCAAACCTCAAAATAAAATAACCATTAACTAAATTAGAATTCAAATGTTTGTAAAATAAAATCTAACTAACCTGATATTCCGCATGGACCTAAAACCTAATCATTAATCAGATTCCATTTTGCCCAACTTTGTCTTCGACGAAGAGGACGTACGTCGTGTTTACGTGTCGCGCGAAGCAAACTCTTTAAAATTCCTCCCATTTATACACACGACCCACTAAAACGACGGTGTGGTCAACAAACGATATACAGTGAATTTCGAAAGCGGGTCGATCCACTTCCGTCGGTACGCGCGCTCGACAAAATCGCATCGGATCGACGTCGCCTCGGCGCAGTGTGTGTGTGTTCCTGAATTAAAAAGCCACCACAGGACGGATTCCAACACACGTAGAACCGCCTAGGGAAGGTCAAGATATCGAGGAAAAAGGGGAGAGGGGTGGGAGTTTCTTGACTGAGGAAGAACGGGGTGGACGGAGGAGAAAGGGGGGCCACGATGTGGGTATGTACGTGATCCACGCGTATCGTTTCGAAGCGTTATAGCTTGAGGTCGGACGGGTTGGTTTGGTCCCGAGCCATCGACAGAGTTTGTAAACTCGTGGAACTTTCCGGATCAACAGCTGCCGCGGGAACATCGATACGCGAAACTTCCGAATATGCTTCTTGTAACATTTATGGATGCATCGTGTAGTTTGGGGTCTCACCCTCAAAACCACCCCCTTTCTTTATTCCCCCCTGTTCCGTGCTGCTACCATTGCGCTGGATGGTCGACGGGAACTTCTAGAGATTTCGCTGCTCGGATCGACACTTGCACTGAACGGAAACATTTAAGGGGGCACATTCCCATTCGGAGGGGTAAAGAAATCAAGTTTCTTTTTTATTGTACCTTCTTAGGTCTCCCTACTGTGACGAGGCAAACATTAGGCGAAATTCAGGAATTTTTTTTGAAAAAAGTATGGATAATAGGATAAGCTGAATTTTTTTCATTTGAAAATGTAGTACAGATTAAAAGTTATTGTAATTTAGACTGCCTAAAGAAAAGGTGCCTCCATGGCTGCCATTATATCAGCTGTCTACGTTACCTCAAATTAAAAATTGAGGAAGATTCTTAATCTGTATGACCGTGGCTATCCTCCGTACTAGATTGAATAAAAAATATTGAAAAATAACAAAATGGTACTAGTCTTGCAAAAAAGTGTCGATTTTCACAAAAAAAGTGGCTCGCTTTTCAAGTTGCAAAATTCGAATTTTTCACCTACTGAACATGCCCAGATAGTTTCAAGTCATTCTCTCAAATAGTTTCTAAAATCGTGGCAGCCATTTTTACTGGTATAATACCGGTATTTTACATTTCGGTAGAAGTCCTTGGTCGAGACAGAAATTATTCTATTAATGAACGTAACCGGAAAGTAACGCCGTGATTTCACAGACCTTTTCTTCCGTGGTACTTTTGGATGGATTCTGGAAATACACGAACAGATATTGTATCTATCGTGCAAAGTTGTTACACAGCGTTCTCACAATAAACTCGCGACATGCCACTGCACGTTCATAAATTAGTATCGCGGTGCTCGTTGGACGACGATGCGCGATTGTGTGCACTGATATACGGTGTGATTCGAATAATTTAACACTACTTGGTAACACACTTAAAACTTTAACGAACGTAACGGAATTGGACGTGTGCATGTAAAGAGTTATGTCTACCAAAAGATGTGTACTGGTCGGATGGTTGAACGTGTACTGATTGGTGGAAAATGCAGAATTTTCGTTTGTGTATATTACGGAATAAGATGGTACTATGAGGTCGAAGAAGTGGGGGGGCTTTGTGTATTTTTTGTTTCTGGGACTCTTGGAGGTCTGCATCGAGATACAATACAGAAATGGGCTTAGGGACAGCGAATGTTTTTGCACGTGATACTCAGAGGTGTCGTTCAGTAACCCCGACGTTTATGACGGTTTGTTGACCCCGTATTGATGGATCCAAGACTCGACCATCGCCTACCTGCGTTAGGTCACAACAAGGGATGCTAGATTTGGCGCCCCCAAACTAACGAATTTGCGAGAAAAAATGTGAAGCTTATTAGTATTAATCCGTGGTGACGTCACACCAGGCATTTTTTCTCGAAAACTCGTTAGTTTGGGGCAACAAATCTATCATTCCTGGTTACAACACGAGTACTTTGTTGTTTTCTAATTGGGATTTTTCTAAATAAAAAACTGAACTTGGGAATCAATCACACGAATAATTATTACGAATAAATTGCGAAGTAATTGTTACGGAAAATATTACGGGTAACACCGACGACGAACAGAGATAGAGGCAAACGTTTCGGCCATAATTTCGAATGCGCAATGAATCGTTGGACAGTAAAGAGTACGGTGGATCGGTTTTGATTCGTTGCAGAACGAGAAGCTGGAGGTGAAACAGAAATGGGCCTCGCGGCTTCTGGGCAAGTTACGAAAGGATATCACGCAGGAGTACAGGGAGGACTTCGTGCTGAGTATCACGGGGAAGAGGCCGGCCATGTGCGTCCTGAGTAATCCCGACCAGAAGGGCAAAATGCGTCGGATCGATTGCCTCCGTCAGGCCGACAAGGTGCGTCTCCACTGTAGAAATCTCCCCGATCCAGTGTGGCGTCTCTACTGAATTTACCCTATTCGTTTCACCCCGTGGACAATAATTTCTACAAATATTGTATTGTACAATAATTTCTAGAAATATTGTATAGCTGCTTCAAAGATATAGCGTCAGCCATAAACGTGGCCGACCCTTATACCGTTAGTACTTGATCATCGGGGGCCCATTCCCAGATAGCACATGACGCCTTAGACCTAAAATAGCCGTAAAACAAGCGTCTTTAAGACGTCATGTGCCATCTGGGTATGGGGTTCCAAGGAATAAAACGAAAAAGACTGGAATATTTCAAAGAAATTTAAATTTTCGTAAGCTTTTATCGAGAATAAAAGGGCCAGAAGTATTTGAAATCTGAAATTAGCGAGCTATAAGAACTCGTTTAATTACATTAAAACGGAAAAACCGATCGTAAACTGACGTCGTACGGCCCTGAACAATGGTTTGGCACAGTTTTTACAACTCAAGGGTATCGAATAACAAGATTAAGCTACCGAAACACATAAACTTTAGGATTGGTCAGGTTTATGGCTAACGCTATATCTTTGAAGCAGATATAACTGCCATCGATTCGCGACACTATCAATTGTCCCACCAAATTGTGATCGAACGAAATGTTGAACTATTCCGTGTTCTAGACACAGACCCCTTCCGAAAGTGAACGGGAGATCAAACACACCGTAATAAGAACTTTCGCCATTTTCTGTTCCGTAGGTATGGAGGTTGGACCTGGTGATGGTGATCCTCTTCAAGGCGATACCGTTGGAGTCGACGGACGGGGAACGTCTCGAGAAGACCGCGGAATGCGCACAGCCGGGCCTCTGCGTCAACCCCTATCACATCAACGTCTCCGTCCGGGAACTGGATCTCTACCTTGCCAATTTTATCACCAGCCACGGTAAGCAATAGTTACCCAGCTCGATCATTCTTTTGTTACCCCCATCGTGATTCACCGTGTCCTCTCGATCCCACCCCTGTTTGCCATATACAACGCTGCAGGGGTTAAAATGCTTAATTTCTTTTAACCCTTTCATTCCTATATTACTTCGAAAATTACCAAAGAATTATTTTCCTGTATTTATTCCGTGTATATTACACGATATATAAATGAGTCACATGAACATTTTAGAATTATGAAATTGTTTAAATACCGTTTTTCGTTCGTTGCCAGTTGGAAACTATTTTTTTCACTTTAATCCAGTAAAACGTAATTTTTTGAATTTCGAATTTGTTCGTGTCAAATTCCTAATCAGTGATGTAAAAATCATTGATTACCAACTTTTAGAAAGTCTCAGTGACATTGTGACTTTTACCCATTAAAAACGCGTTTTCAGACCACTGTGCTGTCCTATGTACCATATAAAAATTGGCCCTTTCTTTTAACGCCCTGTATACTCATTGAGATATCTAAAGAAAAATGTATAACACTAGTAATTTACCTCACAATTTAAAAAACGTGGCACCAGTGGGAACGAAAGTGTTAAACGTCACTCCCCTCCCAGATGTTCTCCAAATTCCAATTGAAACAACACGCGAACGATCCTCACGGTTCATTCGATCGAATCGCGTCGATTCATAGACCCAAGCATCCTCTCTCTATCTTTCTCTCTCTCTCACTCTCTCTCTCTCTCTCTCTCTCTCTCTCTCTCGATCCCCTGTCAAGCCAGACGACCGCGTTCATTCACACACGTCGCGGGCGAGTCCATTCAAAGTGTCGTACGCTCCTACGCTCGGCGACGATTCAAAGTTTCTTGGAACGCTCTGCCAATTCCACGCTCGGCGGCTCCCCCATGCCACCAGGGCTGCTTCATGGCGCCCCGCCTGCGGACCAACCGTTTTCCCGCTGTTTTTTCTTTTTTTTTTTTTCTTTATGCTTGCTTCTTTTCTTTCCGAGTGTCGCGAACGTTGCAAAAACAGACACGGTGTATGCGTGCATCACAGGCGATCCGTGACGGACCACGGATTGGCAGACGTTCGTCCGAGGATCATCGAGAGGGGCTTCAAGAATAGTCGATCTTGTTCACCGTCCAAGGTATTCCGATCGTTTCGCGTTCCATGAGACGATTAACCTTCTATCCCCACCAGCCCACCCATCGCAAACGGGGATTCTAGATCAAATTCTTGATGAATCTGATCAGATCGACGTGATTCACTTGCTTATCCGTGGGAAGAGAGGTTAAGTATACACACGATCTGTCGGAGGTTTATGGAGATTTGGAGAACATGGAACATTTAGGATTGTCGATAATCTTCGGAGTAGTTCAGTTTGTCACACGGTGGTTGCTCTCCGTTAAGGTTCTCCATGAATATCTTTCAGGAATTCAAAGATCGTTGGTGAGGATCCAAAAATCTCAGAAAGTTTTCTGAGAATACTCCTTGGTCGTGTGGAGAACATCGAAGATATTCATCCTGGATCTTGAATATGGTTCTTCTCGACTGGATCAGAGATGTTAACTCGTTACAAATAGTTGGCTTCCATAAAAATAAACCCATCTGTAGGGTGGTGCGGTTCATATAACGTCGCATTGAGCTGAAGAAAACACTTCATCAAACAGAGCCGAAGTTTGCAAAATAAGAATGCGTTTATAATTTTCAGTATTGCAAAAATGATTTTTCGATCTAAAAAAATTGATTTAGGAAGGCAGATTCTTCTCGATTAAAAGAAAAAAAGGAATCAACCGTACATGAAAAATAGTTTCCGAGATATAAATTCATAAGTACAATCCAGTTTCACGAAAATAGGCAAAAATCGCAAACCTGAATGGCCTGTATTTCTTGAAAAAATTCGAAACTCGAAAAATGATGACTTAAACCCCCCCTAATTCCACATGGACTACATCACAGCCTATTTTGAATCCCAGTCATCGAAGGAAAAAAGTGATCGATCTACCATGGAATGACCCTACCAAACCAACAGAATTTGACTCACTTTTAAAATGAGTGCTGCATCGGTGCAGCACTGATGATTAAAATGACCCTTCCGTCATTCAATAAACAGGGTTCCATTGAGGTTTCTGGTAAAAACACAATGGAAAAGGTACACGTAAGTGTGCGCGTTGATCGACCGTTCGATCGATCACCCGACAAAAAGCTGGCTGCTCTCTCTCTCTCTGGCGACTGGCAGGGTCCACGCCGGTTCTTTCATTCGGGTTTCATCGAACTCACTGACTCACGCTGGTGGAACACACGTAATTTCCGTACGCGCGTCCTGGCAAACCGGCGACCGTTTTGGTGGAACGTTGCGCGCGCGCGTGCTGGCTGACGGGGGGGCCCGCCAGGCAGCTTGGCAGACGGCTTTCTAATGTTTACAGCCGGTTGACGCAAAAATTGGCGAGGCCTACCCCGACCGCCAACCTGCGAGAAAGAGAGGAAGGGGAAAAAAAAAGAAAAGGAAAGAAACGCGCGGCTGCCAAGACATGGGGTAGGTTAGGCACTCTCTCCAGATGACTCGCGCGATCCTCTCTCTCTCTTGATCGTTTCGATCCTCGTCTCCCTTGAGCACTCTGTGGTGCAAAATCATCAAAACGTCGGAAAAAATTCGTTTTCTATGGAAATGGCATTTTAACAAAATTTTTTTGGGATAATATTGAAATAGATCGTAGATTGTAATATAATTAAATAAACTTTCGTGTACCATCTCGAAGCTCTCGTCAGCATAACCTATTTTATATCTAAACTCACCGTACTCAATATGGCCAACTTGGTTGTTTCACCGTGTTCTGAGATTGGCCAACGAATTCTGTAACTCTGTCAACATGTTTAATCGCTCTCCGCCAGTATTACAGAATTCGTTTCTTCGCATTGGCAATAATTAATTTTAACTATTTTTTTGATTTCCATTTTTATGTACGTCCTTCTCTTATTGTAATAACTCTGTACTAAAGGGTATTTATCCCGTTAATAAATCATTATTATTATCACACAAGAATCAACTCTCACCAGTGAAGTGTATTATTGTTTTTCACTGGCACCAGTTTCGAGAAAGTAATCGACAATGTTAATATTTCCATAAATATCTACCAGTCTGTTTATGACTTGAGAAAAAAAGGACAGGAACGAAATAAAGTGTGTCTGACCACGCACGGCCTTTTTCACTGTGGCTGGTTGATGTGGTAAAACGTACAATTCCCATGGAAATCCATCGTTCATTAACGATAACGAACGTTTTGATATTTCTTGCATCCATGTGTGATCTAAAAGATCTCCCACCCGCTCGTCAATTCCCGGGTTTCGTGTGCACACACACGTGGCCGTATTAAGAATAAATTCTCGTGTGTCAGCTCTAAAAGTAACAGATATTCATGAATATTTTGTAAAAAAGAACCTATTGCCACTATTGGATTAAACTTTTTTGGGAAATAAAGGACATATCTCCCAGTTGTAGAAACTATTTTTCTTATGCCGATAGTTTTTACAATTTATTAATTAACGTAGAAGCTTGTTAACCCCTTCGACGATGTAACTCCTATTGGCATACACTGTAGCGCCTGTCATAGACATCCGATCGCAGAAAACAAACAATTTTTTAAAAGTTAAATAGTTAACACTGAAACTAAATCAAACTCAAAGAATAAACACGAAAAATTGAAAAAGTTATAGCGTTGAGAAAAAAATTAGCTTCCCTCCCTAGATAACATTAACTTTATATCGATGAATAAATGTTACACATAAAAATTAAACTCAATATTCGAGGTTCAGTACCTGTAGCAATGTATAACGAATAAAACGAGCTATGTCTGAAATTGATCCCTCGATTAGTTTTTGAGTTATCGTGTCACCAATTTCGAAAACATGCGACACACCGACCAGCTTGTAACTTCTTTATTTCTCTTTTTATTTGGAATTCGATTTTCAAATTGTGGGAACATAATTTTTGTTACCATGTTGTACCTTTGATTTATGTAAAAAAAAAATTGTTTGTTTGTTTCTTTGGACCTGTTACACGAGAATCCCCCCTTAATTGACAAAGGCCACGGGGCCACGGAAGAAGAAAACTGGCCCGGTTGTGCGGCCACGGGAAGACTAGCGGCACAACGATCAACATCATAAAAATTCCTGGCCCTCTCTGTAAATATACAACGGGCCGGCGCACCCACAATAATATAAACTCGGTGGCTGCCAACACGCGTGCCGGATAACGGCAAGGCGGCTGCTTCGCCTGACTACGGGGACCATTTCTCGGTTTATCCCGTGGCTCTCTCGACGCAGCGTCGACGTGGCCACGGCGGCTAAAAGTAGACACTTGCCACCGTTCGTTCGTCTCGACTGACCTAATAGACGGTATTATTATAGAAGGGAAGTACCACCGGGGAACAGAAGCGCGCGGACGAATCCAGGGATGCCTAATATTTCTCAATCCCCGGCCGGTCGACGCACAGTGGGCCGGTTCGAGTAATTCAGTGACATTTTTTTGGTAGAAATTATCCACCATAGTGGATATCGATACGAAACTTGCGACAGAATAATGTATTGAAAATTAAGAATGGAAATATGACACTTCCGTGACATCCCTTGTAAGAGAAAAATTCTTTCAAATCATCCCTTCCAGTGACTTACACCGATTTTAGAACACCCTGTATACTGAGTATATAACTAAATCATACAATTTAATTTATATACATTCACAGCTGGTAGGTCCACTGTCAAAGTGGTACTTATCTTGAATATCTTACAAGTTTGGGCAATAAATTACCTTAAAGTAAAAAAGTGCTAGCCCCCATATTTAGAACCACTAAGTACGACTTCGTGGCCAGTCATCTCGATAGAGAGAACCGTCTGTGTCCTGTCCGCCGACAGGGCTGAGGACCGAGGGCGCAAAAGAATAAACGACGAAGTCCACGTGGCGTTGATTCACTGTGGCCCGCGCGATTTGGAAACGCGACCAGAGAGGTCTATTCC